AGCTCACTGCAACCTCCGCCTCCTGGGTTCAAGTGACTCCCCTGCCTCAGCCTCCAGCCTCCCAAGTAGCTGGGACTACAGGCGCTACATGACCAGCTAATTTTTTTTTGTATTTTAATAGAGGCAGGTTTTCACCATGTTGGCCAGGATGGTCTTGATCTCCTAACCTCGTGATCCGCCCGCCTCGGCCTCCCAAAGTGCTGAGATTACAGGCGTGAGCCACCGCACCTGGCCTCTCTCTTTTTTATTTTTTTTGAGACAGAGTCTTGCTCTGTCACCCAGGCTGGCATGCAGTGGCATGATCTCCACTCACTGCAACCTCCGCCTCCCGGGTTCAAGCAATTCTCCTGCCTCAGCCTCCCAAGTAGCTGGGATTATAGGCGTCTGCTACCACGCCCAGGTAATTTTTTTGTATTTTTAGTAGAGACAAGGTTTCATCATGCTGGTCAGGCTGGTCTCAAACCCCTGACCTCAGGTAATCCATCCGCCTTGGCCTCCCAAAGTGCTGGGATTACAGGTGTGAACCACCACGCCCGGCCCTCTCTCTTCTTTTAAATAGGCACCCAGTGGGCTGATAACAGAATTGCAACTGGACCCCTGGCCTCCCAAGCCACTCTTGTTTCTCCAAGGGCTATTCTGGGACTAGAGAGAAGAGAGGTTCAGGCTCCCCTTTCCTTGATATGTTGCCAGTGTCAGAATTCTGGAAATCTGGGGTTTCAGTGCGATATCATGCAGAGCAGGGACACCGACGTGTCTCTTTGGAGTACCGTTATCTGCTCATGGGCTCCTGGGGTCCAAGCGGGCCCTATACGTGTTTCCTGGAAGGTGGAAACTCTTGGCCAGTTGTGGTGAGGATGACGTTTACCATGTAGGGGCATGCTCCTCCCAGGGTATGTTGTGAGTCTACCCACAGGATAAGGTGAGGGTCACAGTTACATTGATGGGGAGGAGAGAAGGATGCCAGCTCTGCTTCTCAAATCAGGCATGAACCCCAAAGGATGTCCAACCTTCCCTAGGGAAGTGGAGGATGCTAGGGAAGACTTTGCCCACCATAAAGGCACAGATGGGCAAAAGGAGGGCAAAGGACCAGCTGAATCCCCCAGGAGAGCTAGTTTGGTCTGCTCCATGATGCAGAAATGTACGGTGCTAGAGAACTGGGAGCAGAGAATGCTCACACTGGTACTGGCGTGTGCAGAGCACGAGGGTCTACTCCCTCCTTGCATGACGCAGTTCGTAGCTTGTCCTGAGTCCATCTGAGTTAGACACAGTCTATTTGCAGTGAGCCACAGTGTCCTCTAATGGCCACCCCTTTCGCTCCCCTCTGCCACCTGCCCACTGCTTGCCTTGAAAAGATTTTGTAACAGTGAAACAGCAAAAGAACTAACATAACGAACTCAATTTCTGTTTAAGGGGCCTTTACCCATTCCTGCACGTAGGCTAGGATAATTTTAGAGCACTGAGATAATGTGCAGAAAAAAGCAGTCATGTAGTTTTAAAAAACTAACTCTGGGATGAAAGGAGAAACATGTAAACATGTAAAGTATGTAAACCTTTAACTATGTTTTGTTAAAGATTTATAAAAGCACTGTGACCTCGCCAAGGACAAAGAAGTTCCCAACCTTCTTGGACCCTCACTGGTGCCCAGGTGTCAGCGGTAATTGGTCATCTGTTGATCTCAGTTCAATCCCCTTCTCTTCTACTTGAATTTTTTTTTTTTTCTGAGATGGAGTTTTGCTTTGTCACCCAAACTGGAGTGCAGTGGTGCCATCTCAGCTCACTGCAACCTCCGCCTCTCAAGTTCAAGTGATTTTCCTGCATCAGCCTCCTGAGTAGCTGGGATTACAGGCGTCCACCACCATGCCCAGCTAATTTTTGTATTTTTAGTAGAGACAGGGTTTCATCATATTGTCCAGGCTGGTCTTGAACTCTTGACCTCCAGTGATCCACCCGCCTTGGCCTCCCAAAGTGCTGGGATTACAGGCATGAGCCACCGCACTCAGCCTCTTCCACTTAACTTTGACATGAAAAAAGCATAAAATTTGTATTGACTTAATAGGATACTCTAGAACAATAAATTGTCCATTATCTTCTTTGTTTTGCTAGCTCTCCAAGTAAACCTGCTTTTCCTTCTGCCAACCCTTGTCTCTGGTGTCTGGCTTTCAAGTAGTGAGCACCTAAACCTAGGTTCGATGGTAATATCTCTAGAACCAAAGATGCTTGGTGATAAGATCATAGATTCTGTTGCTTTAGAAGGCCCAGGGAATAGGATGAAGTGTGAAAGTTTGGGGTGAACAGGAGCCTTGATTTTTTTCCCCAAGTGGATATTGAAAATGATTGACACTTGGGAGAATTTGGGAATGGAGGATAAAGCAGAGGACTTGGGAATGCTTAAGAAAGGGAGTGGTAACCTGTATGTATCCCCATATTCATTTAGAATGCGTCATGCCAAATTCTATTTTCTTTTTCTTTGTGTCTGGGGAGACTAGACAGGTTGACAACAACTCAGGCAAGAGAGTCACTTGAGCCCAGGAGTTCAAGGCTTCAGTGAGCTATGATCCTTGTCACTGCATTCCAGCCTGGGCAACAGGGAAAGACCTTGTCTCAAAATATTTTTAAAAAGGACTTCTGTTGGCTGGGTGTGGTGGCTCACGCCTGTAACCCCAGCACTTTAGGAGGCTGAGGCGGGCGGATCAACTGAGGTCAGCAGTTCAAGGCCAGCCTGGCCAATGGTGAAACCGCATCTCTGCTAAAAATCCCCAAAAATTAGCCAGGCGTAGTGGTGGGCACCTGTGAGCCCAGCTACTCGGGAGGCTGAGACAGGAGACTTGCTTGAACCCAGGAGGCAGAGGTTGCAGAGATTGTGTCACTGCACTCCAGCCTGGGTGACAGAGCAAGACTCTGTCTCAAAAAAAAAAAAAAAAAAAAAAAAAAAAAAGGACTTCTGTGATTACATTGGGTACACCCTGATAGTGGGCTCTGTACTCTGGACAAGGCTGTGACCACACACTGCCTTGCCTTTTCTCTGACTCTTTCTAATGGGTCTTATCACCCTGGCAGGACTATTAACTCTGCCCGGGCAGAGGCTGTGTCTAAAGCCTCCTGGGGACTCTCAAGCTCCCTGCAGTGGTCTTGGGCTGGGCACACTGGAAATGTTTCACAGTTTGTTGAATTGGATTTGTATTTTCTGAAGACCAGGGCTGGATCCAGCAACAGATGTGTAGTCTAGAGAAAGCTGGAGGAGTCAGAATCTAAAAGGACAGGCTTACATTACCTGGGCCCCTTATCACCGTGTCTGTAGGCAGCTCTCGCTGCCTCTCTGAGCCTCGTCACCCACGCAATGAAGATGGTAAACAGTATTCACAGAAATGTGACCACAGAGATGCTGTAGTCTAATAATAAAAATATGTCGTCAGCCCATACTAGGTGCCAGAAACTGTGCTAGGCACACTTCCTTCATTTAGCCAGCTGATGTGGATTCCATTATTTTCTCTACTTTATGGGCAAGTAACTGAATCTCAGGAAGGAGGTGGAGATTGCCTAAGGTCACATCTGGTCAGGGGCATGGGCAGAACTGAATTTTAAACCCAGGACAATCTGGTTCTGAAGGTCACTGGAATGTTCTAGCGCAGGGGTTCTCCAGCTTGAGCGTGCATCAGAATCCCCTGGGGGCCTTGATGACACAGATATCTGGGCCTTCCTTTCTTCCCTCAGGGGTCGCTGCGGCTGGACTATAGGCACAACATGCCAGGCCAATTTTTCGGTACATTTTGTGGAGACAAGGTCTTGCTTTCTTGCCCAGGTTGGTCTTGAACTTCTGGACTCAAGCACGCCTGTCCCCTCGGCCCCCCAAAGTGCTGGGGTTACAGGCAGGAGTGAGCCACCACACCCACCCTGAACTGGATTTCTTTTTCTTTTTTTTGAGAGGAAGTCTTGCTCTTTTCACCCAGGCCAGAGTGCAGTGGTGGGATCCTGGCTCACTGCAACCTCTGCCTCCCTGGTTCAAGAGATTCTAGTGTCTCAGCCTCATGAGTAGCTGGGATTACAGGCATCCGCCACCACGCCCAGCTAATTTTTTTAGTAGGGACGGGATTTCACCATATTGGCCAGGCTAGTCTGGAACGCCTGACCTCAGGTGATCCTCCGGCCTCGACTTCCCAAAGTGCTGGGATTACAGAGGCGAGCCACTGCCCCCGGCTCTGAATTGGATTTCCAAGAAGTTCCCAAGCAATGTGGATGCTGCAGCTCTAGAACCACGACTTCAGGACCACTTCCTAGCTTCCCTGCTCTGGAAAATAGTAGGAACGAAGAAAAGGGTAGTTAAATAAAAGACTAAGTCGGGCGCGGCGGTTCGTCCCTGTAGTCCCAGCTACTCCTAAGACTGAGGGGGAAGCAGGAGGATTGCTTGAGCCCAGGAGTTGGAGGACGCGGTGAGCTGTGATTGTGTCACTGCACTTCAGCCGGGGCGATGGAGTGAGATCCCATCTCTAAAATAATAAGAATAAATAATAATTAAAAATTAAAGACAACCTATAAACGTTGTTAGGACAAATGGTGTCCACGCATGAAGTTACAGGCATGGGTTCAATTCTGGACTCCGCCATAACCATGTGCATAAAGAGGCATACACCCGAGGTCTCGCCGGTGTAGCCCTTGGCGTTATTCCAGGACCAGCATCTTCTGTACGCCTACCCTGGGGTTCAGACTTCTGCGCCCCTGGCCGGCGGTGGCGCGCCACCCCCGCGCCTCTCTCCAGCCCTGAGCTCTCTGCGGCCGAAAGTGGCCGGGCAAGCGTTGCCATGACAGCGCCGCGGGTGGGGATGCCGGAGGCAGAGCGCGCCGGCCCGATCGCCCCTTTGTGCGGAAGGGGCGGCGGTGTGCTCCCCCCAGCCCGGCTGCACCCCGCGTTCCCGGCCAGGACTCTGGGCAGGGGAAAGGGGAGGGTTAGGTGTGGGGCTGTAGGGGCGCAAGGAGGCGGGAGGAGGGTGGAGGCAAGGGCCGCGGGTGGGGCGCCTCCGCCCGCCAGCCGCTCCCGCATTAAAATTTCATGGGCGCTGCAGCAGCTACAAAGACGACGCCGGCTGCGCTCGGGGGACCGGAGGGAGGGAGGCTGCGGACGAGTGCGGGGAGGAGTTTGAGGTGGGAGGTGCTTGCAGGGGCTCCCCCAGTTCTGCGCTGTGAGCCGGGGCACAAAGAGCCCTCTGCACTCGCGCCGCAGGACCGCGGACCCGAGGTAAGACGTCGCCCTGTGCTAGCAGCCTTCCTTCCCAAGCGCCCTCGTCCCCGAACGGGGAACAGCCGAATTCCCCGAGGCTGGGGTCGAGGGTAGGTCCCAGAGTCCCGGGACTGGGTTCAGGGGTGGAAGACGCTGCCTGAAGTGCCCGGCATTTGATGGATGAAGAGCCTTTGCAGCCTGTGATTGTCAAACACAGCCAGGACTCTGGCCGGGATGCGGGCGGGCGGTGAGGCCGGGCAAGGGGAGGTTGCTTTGGGAGTCCAGTGCGAACGGGGGTCTTGCAGTCATGAATGTGAGGGGGAACAAAGACCCTTCTCTTCCGACGACAGGAGACCGAATTTGGGAGGTGGGCCCGCGAACCTTCTCGGTTCACCAGGTGAGCAGATAACTGGCCAAGTCAGGAGAGCCCAGAGGGTCTCAAACTGGAGGTGGGGGTGGGGTAGCGGGGCAGGGTCCTTGAGCTCCCCTTCCCTCATACCCAGCCCGCCCCATTCCCCCAGAGCCTGCCATTCCTTCACTTCTGGGACTCAAATCCCAGATGTCCGGCGTCCAATTTGGCTCCCAAAGGATGGAGAGGGCCGGTAAATTACCGTCGCTGAAAACAACAGTGACATCAGTTTATGGAGAGGTTACTCTACGCCAGGGACCTGCTTGGTGCTTTGCAAACGTTATCACAACAATTCCACTAGGTGGTAAGGAACAAGCCCATTTTAAAGACCTAGAAATGGAGATTCAGAGAGGGTTATCGACACGTCCAAGGTCACACAACCAGTGACTGTGAATCAGCTATGTAGGACTCTAAAGCCCATTTGCATCTCTTAAAGGATCTGCGGAGGTCCCGGAACCCACCAGCCGGATTCTTCACCTCTCCTTGGCTCCAGGACACTCCCTGGAGAGGCTGGGAATTTGGGAGGAGAGGGGCCAGACCTTTCTCCTCTTCCAGCGGAGGGTCCTGGCATAGAGAAATTGTTTCTGGGACTGTGCAGGGGAGGCCCGGGGGGCGCGTCCTAGATTCCCCACCCTCATCCCAGGCTCCAGATCCGAGGATGCCCGGCGCCTAGGATTGCTGGCGCGCACACCCCACTGCAGTGCCGCCGCGGGGAAAACGCCCCCACCTGCTGCGGGCGGAGGGGAGGGACAATGAGGGAGGACTGTGAGAGAACCTGAGGGAACGGCTTTGTTTCTTCTCGGTGCCAGGCTGGGACGGAGCGCGGCTCAAAGCACAACACTCGCTCTGGACTCAGTGCTTTGCAAAGCGCATTCCCATTTGGGAGCATCTGGGCGCGCCGCGATGGCCCAGGGACGGGGGCGGGGATAGACGCAGGGCAGGGATGAGTAATTCCACTTGACAGACAGGGAAACCTGAGGACAGTGGTTCTCAGACTTTAGGGGCGTTCCTTCCAACACGCAGATGTCTGAGCCACGTGGCAAGGCGGATGAGTCAGCAGGTTTGGGGTAGGGCTGGGTGTCTGATGTTTACTCAGACCTCATCCTCATCCTGCAGGTGGGCAGATCCTTGATTGAGGTAACAGTGCCCACACATCGCCCCTCACCCCTCTAGGCAGAACCATCCAGCGGTCTGGGCAAACCATTTCCCGACGCTTTGCCAGCTCCTAGCTTTGAGTGGCATTGAATGGATCCCACTCTAACTTTGGTTAATTTCATGTTGAAAGCATTTTACGTAAACACATTCCATGTCCCCCAGGCCCTCCGATTTTACTATTTAGTGACCCTTTCCATTGAGAACTGTTCTGAAATCTACTCATCTGAAGCCTTGACCTCACTCTTTAACAGAGGAGAGTGGTGAAGTCTTCAGTGTCCCCAGAACAACCACGACCCCTTACTGCCAGCTTTAGGAGAACGGTTCCCTATGTCTGCACGAACAGTGAGGATTTTGGGCTGGGCACGGTGGCTCACATCTGCAATTCAGCACTTTGGGAGGCTGAGGTGGGAGGATGGCTTGAGCCTAGGAGTTCAAGACAAGCCTGGGTAACGTGGCGAGACCCCATCTCTAAAATAAATAAATAGAAATAAATGAGAATTTTTATCATTTTTGCTGATTTTTTTTTTTTTTTAGTTGGTGTCTCGTCTTTTTTGAGACAGTGTTTCGCTCTTGTTACCCAGGCTGGAGTGCAATGGCTCAATCTCGGCTTACTGCAACCTCCGCCTCCTGGGTTCAAGCAATTCTCCTGCCTCAGCCTCCCGATTAGCTGGGACTACAGGCGTGCGCCACCATGCCCAGCTAATCTTTGTATTTTTAGTAGAGACGGGGTTTCACCATGTTGACCAGGATGGTCTCGATCTCTTGACCTTGTGATCCACCTGCCTCGGCGTCCCAAAGTGCTAGGATTATAGGCATGAGCCACCGCGCCTGGCCAAATTTTTGCTGATTTTTAAAAACAAATTCAATCAGTTTAATAAAAGGCATGATAATTATAGAGGATTTAGAAAAGACAGGAAAAAAAAAAAAAACAGAAGAAGAAAACTCCATTTTCTCTTTCTTTCTCCCCTCCCTCCCTCCCTTCCTTCCTCTCTCGCTCCTTTTTTCCCTCCCTCCCTTCCTTCCTTCCTTCCTTCCTTCCTTCCTTCCTCTCTCTCTCTCTTTCTTTCTTCTTTCAACGGAATCTTACTCTTTGCCCAGGCTGGAGTGCAGTGGTGTGATCTTTGGCTCATCACAACCTCCACCTCCCGGGTTCAAGTGATTCTCATGCCTCAGCCTCCCAAGTACCTGGGATCACAGGCCTACGCCACTATGCCCGGCTAATTTTTGTATTTTTCATAGAGCTGGGGTTTGCCATGTTGGCCAAGCTGGTCTCGAACTCCTGGCCTCAAGTAATCTGCCTGCCTTAGCTTCCCCAAATGCTGGGATTACAGGTGTGAGCCACCATACCCAGCCTGAAAACTCCATTTTCATGCATTTCTCTCTGGTATATTTTCTATTATTGAAAATAGTAATGGAAATTAGCCAGGCACAGTGGCTCATGCCTGTAATCCTAGCACTTTCGGAAGGTGAGGTGGGTGGATCACCTGAAGTCAGGAGTTCGAGACTAGCCTGGTCAACATGGCAAAACCCCATCTCTACTAAAAATACAAAAATTAACTGGGCGTGGTGGCGGGTGCCTGTAGTCCCATCTACTCTGGAGGCTGAGGCAGGAGGATCGCTTGAACATGGGAGGTGGAGGTTGCAGTGAGCAGAGATTATGCCACTGCACCCCAGCCTGGGCAACAGAGTGAGACAGCCTCAGAAAAAGAAAAAAAGAAAAAGAAATTGCATTATATGTATACTGCTTTTGAGAAGTTACATCAGATGTGTTTCTCCATGTTATTATGACCTTTGCAGAAACCATCATGAGAGATTTCAGTGTTTCATGGAGGAGATAAACATGCTCTCCTTCATCAGTTCCCTACTGTTGGTCCTGCCAGTCGTTTTCAATTTTTCTTTTCTTCTGCATCTTCACTTTAAGGTCCTTTCTCTGGCTGTGACCCATGCTTCTTCCCCGGGCAGGATGACACTCTCTGAATTTCCTTATTCATCACGGCAGTGCTGTGTGGTGGAAGGAGACGCAGCTGAGAGTTAGGCAGGTCAGTGTGCAGATCCTTCTCCCCACCTGTGTCCACTGCAGTCAGGAAGTCACGTCCCTTTCTGAACCTCAGTTTCCTCGTCTATAAAGTAGACATCACAATCCCGGTTTTAAAAAGCGATGATGAGGCTACAAACCAGTGCATGTTGGGTGCCGTGTAGGTGCTTAATAAAGCTAGTGAATGCTATTGTGCACCCACTGGATGCCAACTGAGTTCGTTTACATGGTACCTGAGTCTTGTACGGATACTTAGTGATTTGCTTTTATTTCTGTTGAGGCTGCTGGTTCGTCTCCTGGGCGATTATCAGCCTGTTTGAGCAGCGTGTTTCTGGGGCATTGGGTCCATTGTGCAGATTCAATGGGCTTGTGAATAACTTGTAGGCTAGTCTTTTGTTTCAAGAGGACCCCTTCCCTTGTCTCCGAGGACTGAATCATCTGTCAGCTCGAGCTCCAAGGAACAATAGCCAGAGATTCTCAGGGGCAGAGGCCAAGTCTGGCTGAGGGTGACATCTGTCTCCCTATCCCATTCTACTCCTATCAGATCAGATGAGGCAGGTGTCCCCTTATCCCTTGTGGTGACAGGTGGGCCCCTCTGGAAGCTACTGGGTGAGTCATGGAAGGGAGGGGGGTGCTGAACTATTGTGCACTCAAAGGGTGTGCAGAAGATGATGAGTAGTAACCAGCCCTAACTACCGCTTTGTTACCATTTACCAAGCTTCTCGCTCAGTGCTCCCTCATAGAGACTCCATGATAAGGCAGGGAATTCGCCATTGCAGAGAAACAGGCTCAGAGAGGTGAAGTGTTGAGCTCAGGGCCACACAGCGAATTAGCTGTGGAGTTAGGATTTCAACCCATGTCTGGTTTGACTCTGAAACGTGTGTTTGTAACTACAACAGTACGCCACTCTTAAAAGTGAACTCAATCAGTTGCCTACAGCCTGTGAAAGCAACCGGAATAAACTGAACAGAGATGATTTCTCAATCACAGGCCAGTTTTCTCACAGTAATGGTAATGCAGATGGCCACAGAGTTTGCAGTTCACACATATCTTCCTTGGATCTGTTCTCATTTAATCCATATATATAAGGATCTATATATATCCATCCATATATATACATAGATCCACTCTGTCATCCAGGCTAGAATGCAGTGGAGCAGTCTCAGTTCACTGCAGCCTCTACTTCCTGGGCTAAAGTGGGCCTCCTTCTGCAGCCTCCCAAATAGCCACAGCTGCAGGTACACGCAACCACGCCCAACTAATTTTTGAATTTTTTTGTAGAGGCAGAGCCTCCATCTGTTGCCCAGGCTGATCGAGAACTCCTGGCCTCAAGCGATTCTCCTGTCTCTGCTTCCCAAAGGGTTGGGATTACGTTGTGAGCCACTGCACCCTGTCCCTATTTGAACACATTCCTGCCCCTTTGGGGGTCCAACAGTCCTGTTTAGAATCTCCGTTGCCTTATTTTCTAACTGAACCTCGGTTTCCTCATCGGTAAAGTGGGGAATGATAAAACCCAACTTGTTTTGCCATGTAGATACAGGTATTGATCGACTTACGACCTATGCAACTTACGACCATTCGACTTTACGACCACAATCGCTAGCCACGACTGCTCCGCGTCTGGCAGCGCAAACGTTGCCCAGCTGGGCGTACGACAGTGCGGACCAGCTTCCGGCAGCACTACAATCTCCGCCTGCATATAGCCTACTCCACTTACGACCAAATTGTGTTACGACCGGTCTGTCGGAACCAATCGTGGTCGTAAGTCGGGCACTAGCTGTAAAGACGCTCCCAATTAGGATCTGTTCTTGGTAAATGTTACTTTAGCTTCCTTTCCCTTCTTCTTGCTTTTCTTTCCTCTCTCTCCACCTCAGGGGCTCCCTCGGTCGAAGGAGATTTGAATTTCGAATCTCCTCTTTTGTGGACACTGTGTTTGAATTCATCAGGAAACAGCGGTTATCCTCCTCTGCAGAAGCGTCGGCTTTCCCCAGTGTGTCTCTTGTGAGATGCTTGGCACATTTCATTATTCCCTGGAGCTTCTGTTACCTGTGGGCACGGGCTCATCCAAGGCAATTTGGGCCAACATCTCTTGGACGTCTCAGCTCTCAGAGTAGCGATTTTATTCCAGAGTCAGGGAAAAAGACCAAAAACTCAGAGGGATTTGAAAATGCAACAGATGTAGGTTTCCCTGGCAGCTGCCCGTCTGTTACTAGGATAGTGCATGGTTGTTTTGGGGAAAAATGAATATCATGGGTGGTGTTCACGAACTAATGGTAATAATAGTGATGTAAGAAAATGGCAGAATTCAAGCTAAGTCTCATTCATCTTTTCATTCGATCCTCATGACGCCCCTGTGAAGTGGGCACTGTTATTATCCTTATTGTGGATTAGGAGACCGAGGCTCACTGCAGGTGAAGGACTTGCTCGAGGTCACATAGTGTGCTGGTGGCAGAGCAGCACAGGAATCCAGGCCATAAAGCCTATGTTAGGATATAATTGTTGACACTGGCCTGATCAAAATACCTCCTTGTGGCCGGGCGCAGTGGTTCACGCCAGTAATCCCAGCACTTTGCGAGGCCGAGGCGGGTGGATCACGAGGTCAAGAGATCGAGACCATCCTGGCCAACATGGTGAAACCCCGTCTCTACTGAAAAATAAAAAAATTAGCTGGGCGTGGTGGTGCGCGCCTGTAGTCCCAGCTACTCGGGAGGCTGAGGCGGGAGAATTGCTTGAACCCAGGAGGCGGAGGTTGCAGTGAGCCGAGATTGCGCCACTGCACTCCAGCCTGGTGCCTGGTGACAGAACAAGACTCTGTCTCAAAAAAAAAGAAAAAAAAAAACCTCCTTGTTTCCTGGTTTGCTTTTGGACTGCAGCTGAGGAGATCAGTTTTGGGAAATGCTGTGATTTGAAACAGGACCTTGGCATCTATTCTTCAGTGAGCCCACAGGTACGTATGTATTCTCTCACTCCTGTCTCTTTTTCTTTTGGTGACAGTTGGAGGCATCTGTCCACCCACATGGTTCCAGAAACCTTCATGTGGCCACCATGACCCCATTGGCATCACGGGAGTAGCCAAGGTGATCCTCCCCCTCTTCCTGTGAACACTCGGGTTGGCAGAGACCGCCTTATACTTTGAGGTCAGATCCACCACAAAATCCATATGTACTGAGACCTCCTGAATCTTAGAGGTGGGAGAAACCTCTGATGACTCTCTGGGTTCCAGTTCCTCAATCATGCATTTCCTGATTGACCTTGGCTTGAAGTGGGGTGGTCTGTGTGACCTAGTGAGAGCTGAGATGATGAGGCCCTGGTGCCCACAGCCAGTTCTCTGTGTGGCCTTTGACCTGGCACCTCTTAGTTCCATTCCTCTTTTATCACATATAAACAAGTTTTGCAAAAACAACCTTATTGCGGTGTAATTTACACACAAGGGAATGCACCCATTTAAAGCACACATTTCAGTGCGTTTTGACAAACGTATACACCTGTGTAACCATCACCACAATCAGGATGTAGCACATTTTCATGGCTCTAAAGTGTTCCCCTGTGTTCCTTCCCAGCCAATCCCCTCAGCCTCAGCACCAGCCCTAGGAAACCACTGACCTGCTTTCTCTGAAGTAGATCGGATTTTTTTTTTATGTTCCATATATATATGGAAGCTTCTGTGTTCAACTTTTTTTTTTTTGCTGAACAGAATGCTTTTGAGGCTCATCCTTTTTTTTTTTTTTTTTTTTCCGAGACAAGATCTCACTCTGTTGTGAGGGCTGCAGTGCAGTGGCACCGTCTCAACTGACTGCAACCTCTGACTGCCGAGTTCAAGTGATTCTCCTGCTTCAGTCTTTCGAGTAGCTGGAAATGCAAGTGCGCGCCACCACGCCCGGCTGATTTTTGTATTTTTAGTATAGATGGGTTTTTGCCATGTTGGCCGGGCTGGTCTCGAACTCCTGACCTCAAGTGATGTGCTTGCCTCGACTTCCCAAAGGGCTGGGACTACAGGCGTAAGCCATCGTGCCCAGCTGAGGCTCGTGCTTCCTGTTGCTTGTCTCAGTAGTTCAATTCCTGTTCTGATCAATTTTATTGAGGCATAGTTTTTGCTGTAGTTTTTTTTAGACGGAGTCTTGCTCTGTTGCCCGTTTCTGGAGTGCAGTGGTGCAATCTCGGCTCACCTGCCTCCCAGGTTCAAGAAATTCTCCAGCCTCAGCCTCCTGAGTAGCTGGGACTACAGGCACGTGCCACCAAGCCCAGCTAATATTTTTTTTGTATCTTTAGTAGAGATGGGGTTTCACTGTGTTAGTCAGGGTGGTCTCAATCTCCTGACCTCGGGATCTGCCCATCTCAGCCTCCCAAAGTGCTGAGATTACAGGTGTGAGCCACCGGTCTTGTTGCCCAGGCTGGAGTGCAATGGCACGATCTCGGCTCACTGCAACCTCTGTCTTCTGGTGTCAAGTGATTCTCCTGCCTCAGCATTCTGAGTAGCTGGGACCACAGGTGTGTGCCACCACACCCGGCTAATTTTGTATTTTTAGTAGAGATGGCATTTCTCCATGTTGGCCAGGATGGTCTCGAACTCCTGACCTCAGGTGATCCATCTGCCTCGGCCTCCCAAAGTGCTGGGATTACAGGCATGAGTCACCGTGCCCGGCAGAGGCATAGTGTAAATGTCACATAACTCACATGTTCGATGATTTTTAGTAAATGTACCGAGCTGTGCAACCTTAACCATAAATCAGTTTTAGAACAGTTCTGCTACCCCGATAAGCTCTCTCATACCCATTTACCATTCATCTGCGTCCCATCCCTGACCACAGGAACCATGAATCTATTTCTCATCTCTATAGATTTTCCTTTTCTGGATTATTTTGTATAAATGAGATCATACAATATGTGTTCTGCTGAGCCTGGCTTCTTTCCCTTAGCATGATGTTTGCGAGGTTCATCCATGTTGTAGGATGTATCGGTAGTTTGTTCCTTTTTATTGTTGAGTAGATTCCGTTGTGTGGATAAGGCACACTTTGCTTTTCCATTCACCAAGATAGGGGATTTTAATTTGATCTGTGCTGCCTAACGGGAGTATATACGTATAATGCTACAGGATAAATATGGTGCATATTTCTCGAACATAAATGTCACACACAGATTTACTTAAAGTTTAAATCATTGAGTGGTGAAAATAATTTTTGGAACATGTACTGTGTGCCAGGCACTGGCTAAGCTTTGCAAATCATTAACTTTGGATGGGTGTGATGGCTCACGCCTGTAATCCCAGCACTTTGGAAGGCTGACGCCGGCGGATTGCCTGAGATTAGGAGTTCAAGACAAGCCTGGCCAACATGGTGAAACACTGTCTCTACTTAAAAAAAAAAAATTAGCCGGGTGTGGTGGCATGCACCTGTAATCCCAGCGACTCGGGAGGCTGAGACAAGGGAATCACTTGAACCTGTGAGGCGGAGGTTGCAGTGAGCTGCGATCACGCCACTGCACTCCAGCATGGGTGACAGAGTAAGATCCCGTCTCCACAAAAAATATATCATTAACACTGAGTCACACATTGAGTATGTGGGGGTGAGGGGGCCACAGTCTCCTCCAGGTTTCTCTGGCCCCAAAGCCCATGCCTTCCTTTGTACCCTCTAAGATGGTGTCAGCTTCACCCAGGAGCTAGCTAAAGGTCCCGCAATACCTCCATTGGCTTATTAATATCATGATTCTAGGTCCACAGAGCCAGGGGAAACAGTCACTGTGGACCAAGCCAGGCTCCTCTGAGCAGCCCAGGGTCTATTTACAGAGAGCAGCAAGTTCCTGGGACAGAGGAGAGAGAAGGGAATTTCCAGGCTCTTCAGGACATTCACAACCATGCTGAGAAGCATCCTTGCAGATAAGTACTTAAACTCACCAGCCCCTAGCCTACCAGCCTGCCCTCTTCTGGTCTGTGCAGGAAAGTGTGGTATCCTAGAATCCCACAGCGGGAGGGGAAACGGGTGAGGTAGTTCATTCACTTTTCTACCTCTATGGAAGAAAGAAAGCGCTTGTCCCATTTTAAGGGGTCCCAGAAAGGGTGACTTTCACACTCCACTTTTGGCATCAGGGCTAGTGTTTCATAAACGTCACCGTCTGGAGCTTTTGGATGGCTGAGTTAAATGACTTCATCTCGTGTGCCTGTAAATCTGCTATTAGAAGGAGCCTGGGGACTCCTGGGTGATGTGAACTGGCTCTTCCCTTCTTAGTTTTGGCATTTTGTTATGCTATTTATAAGCCTTGGCTTGGGTTCCTTGGCCTTGCAGTTTGGTGGAGACTTTGCCCTGTGCCTTTAGATGCATTATTCTCAGTGCCAGAGTCTGAGTTCGTCTCCTACTCTGGACCCGTGCCCCCACTCCTAGGTGCTGACAGCAAGCCCTGAAAATACGCTGAGAAGGCTCCCTGACTCTCCTGACTCAGGTCTGCCACCGATGAAGACAGCACAGCTGTTACTCAAGGCAAAACCTGGCAGGTGGCGCTGGGTCAGGATTAGCGGTCATTCTCTGGTCTTCTCCAGATTGATGACACAGGTTGGTCTTAAAGGAGTCCTACTCCAGCCTCTGGCTCCCCGAATTTCCCCTGGCGCATGGCACATCAGGAAAGGGCAGGGGAGAAGGACGGGAGCAGAAAAATAGCTGAGGCTGGGCAGAAGGGGCCCTTCCGTTTCCGTCCACTGCTTCAAACCATGAGTTACTGTTGTGCACCTTGAATGTCAAGGCAGGAAGGGTCCCAGGGCCACCCGGTGTGGCAGGAGCAGAGCTGGGATCAGAATTCTGGATTCCCAACTCTCCATTCAGCTGCAATTCAGCTGCAATTCACCAAGCTGCTCAGTTTTTCCTCCTTTCTCCCTGGTTGCATTCTGCTGCTGCTGGGAAACAGGTCATGAGTGAAGGGAATCCCTCTCCCCTCTCCCCTCACTTTTTCCTTAAAAATGTTGCGGGGTGGAGTAAAGGGAGGCGGAAGGCGGTGTGCCTGAGTCCAGCTTTCCTGGCTCCGGGGCCTTCTGTCTTCGGCAGGGAGCTCTGGCAAAGCCTGAGCCTGGGGAGAGGGCCTGGGTGCGGGTTTCTCCTGCCATGTGGTTGGCTCTTTTGTCTTCCAGGATGGGCCTGTGGGGTCTTTGTGGGGAAGGAAGGAGCTGGGAGCCTGGGCTGCCTGTGTGCTGGCTGCCTGTGTGCTGGCTGCATGCTGCCAGGTAAGCCTGGGAGGGATTTGGGGAGGGAGGGATTTGGGAAGGGAGGGAGGGAGGGAGGTCACATGGAGCTGAGTTTCATAGGGGTAGGTTGACCCTCCCACCTGTGTCCCCTCCTCAGACCCAGAACGCTCCTGCTCATGAGAAGATGGACTGCGAGCCAGGTGGCTGGAAGGCTTGCTCTGTGTGGTCTTGGTGCAGGTGGGTGGGATGGAATGAGGACCAGCGTGGGTGAGCTCGAGCAGAGAATTTAGCATGTTCCTTTATCCAGCCCCGGCATGGACCAAGCACCTTCTCTGAGCCAGACGCTGGGGATGCAGAGGTGAACCCAGAGACATGGTCCCGTCTGCTCGGATCTTCATGTCAGAACACGCTTCATTACCGTCTCAGCGCGGGGGTGAGCTCCCCATCCTGGGAGCAGTGTGTGTATGTGGGTGCGTGCGTGTATGCATGTGCGTGTGTGTGTGTGTGTGTTGGGGGTGGTGGTGTGCAGAGGTCCTCCCAGTGGGAATGATGTAAAAGGAATTCACGCCATCGAAGGACTCTGAAGGTCCTTCCCACCCACTCAAACCCTTGCCCCTCCTCTGCCCACGATGCTGCGGGGGCTTGCCATGGGCTCCCTTTACTGCTTTTCCCCTGTCCCCTGAGCCAGCCCTGCCTGGTGGAGTATTCGCAGCTTTCAGTACTTCCTCTTTTTTTTTGAAACAGAGTTTCGCTCTTGTTACCCAGGCTGGAGTGCAGTGGCGCGATCTCGGCTCACCGCAACCTCCGCCTCCTGGGTTCAGGCAATTCTCCTGCCTCAGCCTCCTGAGTAGCTGGGATTACAGGCACGCGCCACCATGCCCAGCTAATGTTTTGTAGTTTTAGTAGAGACGGGTTTTCACCATGTTGACCAGGATGGTCTCGATCTCTTGACCTCGTGATCCACCCGCCTCGGCCTCCCAAAGTGTTGGGATTACAGGCGTGAGCCACCGCGCCCGGCCACTTCCTCTTTTTACACATTTTTTTTTTCTTTTTCTTAGAGACAGAGTCTCACTCTGTTGCCCAGGCTAGGGTGCAGTGTTATGATCACGGCTCACTGCAGCCTCGACCTCCTGGGCTCAATACATCCTCCCATCTCAGCCTCCTGGGTAGCTGGGACTACAAGCGCGTGTGACCATGCCTGGCTAATTTTCTATAGAGACAGTCTCATGTTGCCCAGGCTGGTCTCAAACTCCTGGGCTCAAGTGATCCTCCTTCCTCAGCCTCCCAAAGTGCTGGGATGACAGGTGGGAGTCATTGTACCTGGCCTAAGTTTCTTCTAAAAGATTTTCATGTCCAAAGCCCTCCCTTCCACCTTGTGTGTGTGCTGGGGTCATGAGAGAGATACTGGGGCACGGGGATCTCTGAACATGTGCCCCCTCAGATGCAGAATTAGGCTGGGGGATGTGGGAAGCTGGGAGTGGAGGCTGTGGCCTCATCCTCGCTTGCTGTGTCCCTGCCCCACACCCCAGGTGGCTCCGTCTGGGCTGAATCTCAGGGACTCCGGGCCTGGCCTTCTCTTTGGACCTCTGGTGACTCTGGACTCTGGCCACCGTGACTTAGCGGGCAGACTGCGATGGTTTTCTAGCCCCCTCACCTGTTGGGATGCAGCCTCCCATGGACAGGAGCTCTTCCTGGCTGGTGCTTGACGACTGGATCTGGCTCCAGGGGTATGAGGGAGGCCTGGCAGCCCACCACTCCCTCCTCACCTGCTCGGGCCCTGCCAGCTGGGCCCTATTGTCTGGGGCTGGGGGCTGTTTCCTGACCCCACGTGAACTTGGTTCCTCCTTGAGTTTCTGCCGGTGACCAGACAGAGCCTGGCCTGGGCCAAGGCCCCACTGACCACACTCTCCCCAGGGCTGGGTCTCAAATGACCCTGCAGGATGGGGACAGGAACAGGGATGGGAGTCGGGGAGGGGCTGTCAGTGGGAGGGCAGATGTAGCTCCTCAGGCGCGGCTAGCTGCAGTCCTCTGTCTTTCTCCGTTTGGCCCGTGTGAAATTGTCATTTTTGTGGGGGGCCTCCTTGGTGGGGCTTTTCCATGCTTTTCCTCTCCCTGATGGTTACATAGAGGGGACAGTCAGGACCTGGGAGGAGCTGGGGCTTTCCCCTTGCATTGCTGAACTTTGGGAGGGGCAGCTAGAGGGGCTGAGTGTGTACCATCCTGAGAACAGAGGGTCTTCACGGGATAAGAAGGTCTAGGCCAGGGAAATTCACTAGAAAGACAGAGGTGGCCCTGGGTGTTTTTCCTGCCATCCAAAGGGAACCAGCCTTACCCAAAGGCTGCCGGGGCCACCTGAGCCCAGTCTCAGGACACTCTTTTCCAATCAGGTCCCTGCTTCTAGCCGTACTGCTCCTGGATTCTGTTCTTGGGGAGCAGAAGGACAGCCCCCACAATCTGCCTCTCCATGTGCAGTTTTCCTTACCTCTCCGCTTTCCTCCTCTGTTTACAACCCCCTCCAGAGGGGACAGTCACAGTGTTTAGCAGAGAGCAGCTTGTGGCCTCCCTTAGACAAGTTTAAAAGCCAGATGTCCTTTTTCCCAGGATGGGGAGGAGGGCGGTTGTGTACTCTTCATCAGCTTGGACTGCCACAGCACCATGCCACAGACTGGATGGCTTAAACAGCAGGAATTTACTTTCTCCCAGTTCTGGAGGCTGGAAAGTCCAAGGTCGAGGTGTTAGAGTTGGTTTCTGGTGAGGCCTCTCTCCTTGGCTTGCAGGTGGCCCCTTCTTGCTGTGTCCTCATGTGACCTTTTCTCCACGGAGAGGGAAGGACAGCAGGAGCGGTCTCTGGTGTCTTCTCCTCTCCTTACAAGGACACCAATCCCATCAACTTAGGGCTCAACCCTATGACCTCATTTAACTTTAACCCCTTAAAGATCCCATCTCCAAAAACAGTCACATAGCGGGCTACTGCTTCAACATATACATTTGGGGGAGGGGACACCATTCCGTCCTTAACAGGGTGATCACCACAAACACAGAAAGTCAGGGCCATCTCCCCTTCAGAATTCCCACCCCCCCCCGCCCAGGGAGGGGAAAGGGGAGTAGAGGTATGGGAAGCAGACACTGAGAGTGACAGGTACCACGCTGGGGTGGCTCAGGAGTGCTTCGGAGGACATATGGAATTGGCTGGGCTCAGTGCAGAAAGGAGGGGTCCCTGGGAGAGCCGTGTCCCGAGAAGAGCCTGAGCTACAATCTTGGGCAAGTGACTTCACCTCTGAGCCTCAACTGCTCTGTGAAATGAAAGGCACATGCTCACCCGTCAGGTGCAGGGAGGATTCAGTGAGATCATGTGCCTAGCACAGCGCCGGACTCCCAGTAGGTGCTCAGCAGCAAATGCTCCCATCCATCCTGGAGTAAGATTTAGGGTTTATCCTGTTTTTTTTTTTTTTTTTGGCTCTCTGGACTTAAAACCTCAGCATCTTCTGATACAGAAGCATTTCTGATTAGCCCTTCCCCTGGCTCTTTCCCCAATATCCCTCTCTAATCAGCTTGGGGAGGTGGCAGCATTTCGTGGCCTCCATAGCAGCTCACGATGCCTCCTGGGGTATTTAAATTCTACTCTCTCATCAGCACTGAGCACCTACTTTGGGCTCTTTCCTGTGCTAGCTAGTCATTTGGGGGAAATATGGGTGAAGAGTGGGCAGGGTTCGAACTTTTGATTTCACATCCATGCTGGATGGGTAAAACCAGCTCACAGTCTACTGAGGTACAAGTTCTGAGTGCATGGTAAGTGCTTGCTAAGTGGGTGAGAGACACCAGAGGGGGCTGCTGCTGTCTGGAACAGCTTCCTAGCAAGCTGTACCAGCCAGGGCCTTGAAGGATGAGAAAGATCTGGCTGAGATGAGACCCTCTAGGTGAATTCCCAAAGGAAGTTCTAGGAAATGTCATTGCTCTTTCAAAACAAAACCAAAAACAACAAACAGCAGGTTCAAATTCAAATTCCGCTGCACTACTGAAGTCGTGCAGGACTTATCAGGGCCTTTAAAATGCTAATTGCAATTTCAAATTCTCAGGGAACATCGTGTAGAACTGTGGGAGATGCTAGGCTGGGGTTTCTGTGGGAAAAGTACAGCAGTGGTAGAAGATGGCATAATTAGGATACATTCAGGTGTTTTGTAGTATTGGCTGAAAAGGAAGCAGACCGGGAGGGCATGGGGAGTCTCAACTTAGTTCCAGGAGCCAGGCCAACTTGATGCAGTTTTTTTTTTTTTTTTTTAACTGGGGGGAGGGCAGGCCAATAATTGGAACAACTAGAGGCCTGGCAGTTGCTGTTGGAAGAGATGTCTACTGAGCACGAGGGTCAGATCTTTGTGGCGACATGCTGGTGTGTGTGTGTCTATGCCAGAGTGTAACAGGATCCAGCCCTCTGGGAAGGGGCTGACCAGAACCGGGCAGGGGTGTTCTATCCAGGACAAGTAGGGTCCATTATCAGGGGGCTGAAATGTTTCCAGGGGTTAATCTGAGACCCACAGCCAGTAAATAGGGAAGCAACATTTTGGGCAGGGGCCATGTGGTTAGGGTTGATTTTGGTGGGGCTGAGGGGCTTAGAGGTAGACCCCCTGCTCTGGTCAGGCCCTGTTCCCTGGCTGGTGGGGACGGGAGGCCTCTGGAGCTGCAGCTGGAGGGGCTGGGGCAGTGTTGCATGGTGTGATTAACCTACTAACCCAGGGCTCGGCGGGGATGCCGTGGCGTGTGACAAGGTGCCTGGCCTTCTGCCAACCAACTAACCTACTAACCAGGCCCGAGCATGCCCTACTAACCCCCTGCAGCCAGATCCTACTAACCGTGCAGCTCATGGGCCTTTCAAGGGGCTGGGGTATGGGGGCAGCCAAGGCTCCAGAAGGCTTTGCCTATGGGCTGGGATCTTTGTGCAGACCCACGTTCCAGGACAGAGAATGCAAATAAGACTCATCAACTCTGCCACTTCCTGGTGGGTGACTTTGAGTAAGTCACCTCACTTCTCTCAACCTCAGTTTCCTCAGTGATAGAATGGGAGCACTGATACCTCACAGGTTGCAGTGAGGATTCCCATGAATATGAGGGTCTTGGCACATGGCAGATACCTAAAAAAAAAAAAAAAAAAGGACGAAGGTGGAGGGAGTCCCCCTAAACCTGGTTGAGCACACCTGCTGCCTAGGCCCTGGCCTCTCTGGGTGTTCTGCACACAGATCCTTCTGCCTGGGCCAGACACTTGCTTTGAACCCCTAACTGTCACTTCCCCACATTCTTCCTCGGTCTCAGCTTTCTTTTCTGTAGGCAGCTCTTTTGTTCGATTACTAACCCGTCTAACCCCTGGGGTGCCTCAACTGCACCCCATCATCCTTTAACAAACTAACGGACCTGCGTGCGTTCTTCCTTTTCTCCTAGCGACTCCTGTGTATGTCTGCTGAGGTGCCCTGTCCGCTGGTGCTGTGCTCTGACTTACTAACCCAGCCCCTACTAACCCTGTTTTCTCTTCTTACTAACCCCAGCCCTGCCGAGCTCTGGGCTCCCCACTGGGGGCTGGTCCCCCTCCTTTTGGCAAGCAGATGACCTGGGACTACTGGCCCTATAGACAGATGTCCCACTTTGCTGCCCTATATTGGCTGTAAGATCAGAGTCCATAGGGCCAGGTCTAAGGCAGGGGACGGCCCTTTTAACAAGACTCAGAGGAGGAGGTGGTGTGGGGGGCCGGACTCTGACATGCCTTCTCTGTGCAGAAGTCTGGTTGCCACTGGGAGTAGGTGGGACCAGGGAAACCTCGGGGACGTGAGTGTGGAAGCCTGTGGGTCTAGACTCTAGACTGGAGCTCTGAGCTTTCGTATCCTTCTCGGGAAGGAATCCGGGGAAGGATCTTTTCCACTGTAAAGTGGCAGGAATACGAGCTACCCTGCACAGGAAGTCGAGAGGGAGGCGTGTCCCACGAGGAAGTCAGGAGGGAGGCGTGTCCCACGAGGAAGTCGAGAGGGAGGCGTGTCCCACGAGGAAGTCAGGAGGGGGCGTGCCCGTCACCGGAAATTGGCAGGGGGCGTGTCCCACATCGGAAGTCAGAAAGCGGAGCCTTACACCGGAAGTCAATGAAGCGGGGTTTCCTCACGCTAGAATTTTACCGCTGAGTGGAGTATTTAGTACGCAGGAAGTCGCCCGGAGGAACTTTTCCCATATTTGAAGGCCGGGAAGAGGGACATTTCTGACACCGTAAGTCAGTGGGAGGGCTCTTTCCCACACAGAAAGTCAGCTAGAGAGGACTCTCCCGTCTCGATCCCAGAGAGGCGGGTTTTCCTTACCGGAAGTAGACGTGGGGCCATGACGCGGGGCCGTGACCGGAAGTCGTTGAAAAAGATCTGTTCCCACGCCCAGAAGCCAGAGGGCGTTAGTTGTCCTGTTGAAAAGGCGGGGTGGGGAGGGGAATCAGCTTTACCCCGGGCTCGGAGTTCGTAGGAGATAGAAGTGGGGAGCAATACATGAACTTCAGGGGCTTACGGGGTTCCCGCAGCCGCTCCGGCCGGCCAGGAGTGCATCCCTGGCTTTCTGTTCCCACCCACGTCCCTGCCTCAGCCTGCCTCCCCCAGAGCCCGCCAGCCGCTAAGCCGGGGCCACACCTGGGGGTGATTTCATGGCTCACCTCCAGTAGGCACCTTGGGCTAATCTCTGGCTCTCTTGCACTAACTCTTGCTCTCACCCAGCTAATCCCTGCCTCACCCTGACTGCCCCAGGGGCTGACCGCTGCCAACCAACCTGGCCCGTCTGGGGGCTTCAGGCTCCTGGCCTGGGTCTGACCAGCTCTTAATTAACCTTTCCTTCACCGTGACTAACTCCTGCCTTCCTGGCCTGTTCCTTTCAGCAGAAACTAATGGCTTGTGGATTTCTTTCTGACTAACAACAGGTCTAACGTTCCTTGTTACTGTTAACAGCTTGGATGTCGGCATGGCTGGGAAGGGGCTAACACAGGCTTGGAACTTGACTAACAGGAAAAAGCGCAGCTAGTCATTTTGGACGTGGTGGCTGCTCTGAGTCAGAGCAATCAGAAGTCCGTAGAGGTGGTAGTTCTCTGAAGGAGGTGCCAGGGTTCTGGTGTGGACCAGGCCTGATGGAGCAGCCGTGCCCACCAAGGTGGGGTCAGAAGTATAGTCAGTCTTCTAAGGTTTTGGTCTTTGGGCATAACTTCCCTCCTCATAGTCTGCGTTTGGTTTCAGTTCTTTAAAAAACCATAGCCGTATGTCTGCAAGAGTTCGAACAAGTAGTTGCAGGTCTTATAAACCTTAAAATAACTGTCTCGTGCCTACAGAGCATTTGCCATTTTATGTAGGGTCACCCATCATCAGGCCAGGGCCTAAAGTCTTTGTTTTGGGGACTTTGTGTTTTGGCAGCTCTAGGACATAAAACGTCAGATCAGAGCATTCAGAAGGGTTGTAAGTCCATCAGCCGTTTACATGTTAGTAGTAAAAATTAGCTGAGCCTGCTTTCTGACTTTTCAGCTCTTCTAGCATAAGCTCTTCTGTGCAATTTGGCTGCATTGACGACAGGGGAGTTTTTCTGGAAGGGACTTTTGATCTCTTTAGACTGAAGGAGCGTCCTTTGGGAGTAGAGGGGCAGGAAGCATAAGCCTGGGATTCCAGATGCAAGTCAGAGGTGGCACTAGGTCAAGGTTTGGCTGGCTCAGTCTGGTAGTCAGAGTCTGTGGGAGAGGACAGCTCAAGGCAGGGCCTGGAGGATTGGATCAGTTTAGGGATAGGTCAAAGGCTGGCTTGGAGCCTTACAGGCAGGTTGCTCGGGTCATTGAATGCTCGTCTGGGGCTGGGAGCCCTTTTCTCCGGCAACCGTGCACTCAGAGCTAACGAATTGTAGTTGGCAGTGAGGACCGAAGGGTGGTCCAGAGGCCTGAGCTGCAGAGGGAACAAGAGAGAAAAAGATGTCTTAGGAAGAGCTTTGTGAAGATGCCTTGGCTGTTGGCAGGGACCTGGGATGGGGTAGAGTCTACACCTGGGAAGTGCCTGCATGCTGCCCTCTAATGGCTGCCTTACTCCATTTCACTCAAAGCAGGAAGCTCAGAAACACCTCCTTTTCCTGAAACTCCTCTCTGTTTACGAAGATTTGATGCTGATAAGGACCTACTATGTGCCAGGCACTGCTCTGGGCGCTCGGACCTGCACATGGGCCTTTTCATCATGGTGCTTATGTTTGTTTTGTTTTTTTTTTTTTGAGACGGAGTTTCGCTCTTGTTACCCAGGCTGGAGTGCAATGGCGCGATCTCGGCTCACCGCAATCTCCGCCTCCCCGGTTCAGGCAATTCTCCTGCCCCAGCCTCCTGAGTCGCTGGGATTACAGGCACGCGCCACCATGCCCAGCTAATTTTTTGTATTTTTAGTAGAGACGGGGTTTCACCATGTTGACCAGGATGGTCTCGATCTCTTGACCTCGTGATCCACCCGCCTCGGCCTCCCACAGTGCTGGGATTACAGGCTTGAGCCACCGCGCCCGGCCCTATCATGGTGCTTATGTAGCTTAGTGGTAGAGTCGGTGAAGTAGATAGTGATTCAGTGAGATGGGCTGGGTCGGGGGACTATGGGAGCGCACAGGAGACAGACAAGATTGATGTGCACCTATGCTGTGCCAGGCATGTGCCAGGCCTTGGGGATGTGGTGGTTGTTAAACACCATTTGGTCTTCAGGAGCTTTAATTCTGTGTGTTGGGTGGATACAGGGGGGTGGAATGGGGGTAGAGAGACACCTAATCCACCGTAGGGTGGTTTTCCGGAGAGGGAGGCATGTCAGCTGAGCTCTGGCTGGGTGGAGTGTGGGTAGGGATGAGTTCCAGGCAACGAGGTGGTGGACACCAGTTTCTCGGGATCAGAGATGATCCAAAGAGGTTCTGGCAGGTTCATGTCGAATGTAGCAAGAGATAGGGGAAATGGACACGGTGCCGGGTCTGGTTGCCAAGGGGTTTGGATTTTAACCTTAGTCCTTGGGGAGCCATGGACATGATTTGAGAAAGGGAGATAGTGGATTTGAGTTTTAGAATGGCCATTTGGCTCCTCCAGCCCGGGTGGAACTCAGAGGAGCTTGCAGTGGGCTCTGGCCACATTTTAGACAACTGAGCAGAGCTTTTTGAAACTTGGAAGACCGTTTGGTCCATCTTTTGATGAACGGAATCCATACATGCCTGCCTCAGTTGGAGGTAGCTCTGCGATGGCTGGAAAGTAGAGGACCAAGGAGACAGTAAAGGCTTGGCAGGGGAGCAGTCTTGAAAACACGTCATCCATGGTGGTGTGAAGCCCCTGGAGAAGATCTGGGGAAACACGGTCATGGGCTGCACGTCTACAAGAGAATGCCATTGGGGAGGGAGCTCATTTGTCATGCATGGCTGCAAGGGGGACATACAACTGTGGAGTAAGCTTGCAAGAGGCTGATCCTGGTCCCAGAGAGGGAAAAATATGTCTTGAGGGGTAATGAACCTTTTGTTCCCAGAGGCAGAGGGATTGGGACTAGGCCAACATAGAGACTGGTGATGGTTGTGAGATTGTGTGTGTGTGTGTGTGTGTGTGTGTGTGTGCGCGCGCGCGCGCGTGCCCGCGTGCGTGCATGCGTGCACGCACACACACCATGACGATAGAGGAGGCTGAGCCCAAGCAGGCACATTCTCTTCAACCCCTTCCCTCATTCAGTCTGCTCTTGAAAGTCTAAGGAACATCCAGCTTGCTATGAGCAGGTCTTAGAGCTGAGGAATTGGCCTCCTAATCTGAAGAGGTGTCGTAACGCTTTCTTAATAGATTGTGCTGTGGACCCACTGTGAGGGCTGCGCTGGTGTAAATGGTGACATCCTGAGCTGGGGGATGCTCTCGGGTGGGGGATTGGTTCCATCCCAACAAAGGCCCTCCTGAGAGTTTATCCAGGGACCCGTTGTTTTACTTTAACAGACCAGAAAAGATGTTTGTTTTCCACGTCATTTAGCTCCAGGGGCTACCGAATGTGTGTAGATTTTTCTGTGATTACAATTTTTCTGTAGATTAAAAATCAGATTTTTACATGGATTCAGCAAAGGAGTGTCAACTGGATTTTTGTTTTCACCCATGAATGTGGCTGCTTCTGTGTAAAATGCCATTTTGCTATTAAAAATCAATTCACACTGGAAACGTGCCTGTGGTGTATGAAGCAGAAGGGACATGCTGTGTGTGGGAGAGGGGGCAGCCAATGGCGTTTTCAAGGAGCAGGGGTGGGCTCTGTCGGTGACTCAGCCTTTCCTCAACAGTGACCCTAGAAGTCGGTATAATGGGGCATTTTATTTTTTAATTTTGGTAAAATAAACCTAAAACTTCACCACCATAATCATTTTTAAGTTTAATACATTCATGTTGTTGTGCAATCACTATCACCATTGGTATTTATTTTTCTGTTCTTTTTTTAGAGATGAGGTCTTGCTATGTTGCCCCGGCTGGCTTTGAACTCCTGGTCCCAAGCGATGCTCTTGCTTAAGTCTCTTGAGTAGCTGGGACTGCAGGCGTGCACCACCGTGCCTAGTGGTATTTTTAAAAAATGACACTTCCTTGTGCCTACGGCAGTGCTTTGCGAAATCCAGGTTTTTATTGCCGGGGAGATTATACTTCCTTGGGGAGGCAAAGAGTTCCTTGGTGACAGAGTAAAAGATAGAGCTTAGCGTGTGGTCACGAAGGACTGACAAATATAAGCCACACACGTTGCCGCTCTTCCCTTCAGCATCCATGACAGACATTGCAAGTTGATCACCTATCTATCTCTCTTTTGGAACTTGGGTGCATTTTCAGGTTATTTCTCAGAGCGGTGTTCTGGGCAGCCAGGAGTTTGTTGGGGATGGTTTAATTAATTAATTAATTAATTAATTTTGAGACTGAGTCTGGCTCTGTCGCCCAGGCTGGGGAGTACAGTGGCTCAATCTTGGCTCACTGCAACGTCTGCCTCCCAGGTTCAAGCAGTTCTCCCGCCTCAGCTTCCTGAGTAGCTGGGACTACAGGCACGTGCCACCACACCCAGATAAATTTTTTTGTATTTTTAGTAGAGACGGGGTTTCGCTGTGTTAGCCAGGATGGTCTCGATTCCCTGACCTTGTGATCTGCGCACTATGGCCTGGCAAAGTGCTGGGATTATAGGCATGAGCCATTGCGCCTGGTAGTTTTAAAAGAACTTTGGAGTCAGTTTTAGAATTGAGATTACTGATAAACCTCGATTTGAATCCCAGCTTTGCCAAACACCTGCTGTGAACCCTTGGGGATGATTCCCCTTCCCTGAGTCTCCATCTGCTCTGCAGAGTGGGGAGGCCACTCCCACCTCCTAGGACCATTGTGAAGGTTCCCAAGGGTTCTTGCAGAGCTGAGACAGGGCTTGATACCCTGCAAGTGTTTCCCGAAACCTCATTCTATGTTAGCATCAGATGATGGGATGGGGCCAGAGGTGCTGTTTTGAAAAGGAGGTCAGGAGAAGGTGAGGTGAGGGTGGGGGCAGTACGGGGAGGCTTCCTGGAAGAATCAAAACTTGAGGGGAGCCTTGAAGGATGGGGAATGGTCAATGAATTAGGAGAAAATAGCAACCGTGGTGCAGAGCATTTTGGAACGACTCCTTCAACATTCACTGGACTGGCTCTGTAGGAGATGAGGATACTGATGGATATTGGGGCGGGCTGGGGTGGACAGTCCAGTGGAGGTTACAGAGCTAAGAAGTGGAGCTGATCTGTGCAGCAGCGTTCAAGGCATGGTAAGAAGAGTGGGAATCTCCCAGTGTTGGCAGAACTTGTGAGCCCCTCCGCCCTCAAAGGACGACAAGACCCCGAATGAGAAGAGCGCTTCCTCCCAGTCCTCCTTTCTCCTCCTTCTCTCCTCCCTCCCTCTGTTCACCCAGAAACTGTTGATGGAGTTTTTCCTGTATACTGGGCACTGCCCTAGCCTCTGGGATGCCAGGTTGCTGACTTTTCTGTTGCCAGTGCACCTGTTTTTCACTGGCTGTTGCCTTCACCGGGAGCGTATGTCCCTCTGCTTTTCACGTGGCTGACTTCTTGGTGGCTCTCAGCGGAGCATCACCTGCTCAAAGAGGCCTCCCCCGACCACCCTGTCCACGGTACTCTATCACTGCAGCTCTCAAACATTTTGGCCACAGGCCCCTTTACACTCTTACCATATGACACACGCTTCGAGTCGATCGTCTGCCTCTCTTTGGGAACTGGGGTCATTTGTAATAAAACGTGTTATTTTTGTTAATATGCAATGGGTTTATTATTGTGATTTTTATGAATTAATAAACAAGTCGTTTTAAAAACATCTCTTTTAATTTTTGATGTGGTAGAGTCTGTCTACAGTGGTTTCCTTGGCTTCACGGAATGCATTTTCAGCCTTTTTCTCAGAAAAGTGTTGTGGGCAGCCAGGGCCGATTTGTTGTGGGTGGTTTTTGTTTCGTTTTGTTTTTTGTTTTTTGACGGAGTCTTGCTCTGTCTCCACGCTTGGAGTGCAGTGGCATATTCTCGGCTCACTGCAATCTCTGCCGATCCCGGGTTCAAACGATTCTCCTGCTTCAGAATCACAAGTAGTTGAGGCTACAGGTGCCTGCCACCACACCCAGCTAATTTTTGTATTTTTAGTAGAGATGGGGTTTCACTACATTGGCCAGGATGTTCTTGATCTCTTTGCCTCATAATCCGCCCTCCTCAGCCTCCCAAGCGGGTTTTTTTTTTTTTTTTTTTTTTTTAAAGGCATTGTGGACACTGGCCACTCCCAAGGCTCAGCTGGTTCGTGTTTCATTCATTCAACAACATGTTTTTGAGCCCTACTGTGTGCTAAACACAATGCTGGGTGCCCAGGGCACGGCAGACTGGCATCGCCCCTGCATAGGGCACAGTCCAGGAGAGGCAGTGAATGAAAACTAGATTTGGACGGGGGACAGGCACAGGAGAAGGAAACCATTGTAGAGAGACTCTACCGTGTTAGAAATTAAAACAGAAACATTTAAAAAAGATTTGTTTATTAATTCATGGAAAAACCACAATAACAGTAAACCCATTGCATATTAACAAAAATAACACATGCTTTATTGCAAATAACCGTATTTTCCAAAACAAAATAAATTTAGTGAGAAGACAGCATTGTTGTAGTTTCTTTGGGTAAATGTCTTTAATGTCTGGCTTAATAGAAGACAGATTGTCTTGCGTTCTGATAGCTGCTTCCGCATTCAGTCTGTTGCATATCAATGTCCTGTGGCTCCTGGAGGGGCGTCCAGTCCTCTGTAGGTGCTCCGTGGCCCAGCCAGAGCCGTAGTTCACGGGAGCGGCCAGGAGATGGCGGTGTTGCACCAAACCCCCGCTGCTTAGTCTGGGAGACTCGGTTCCTCTGGGGGCATTTGGGGCTGGATGCTCTACTGGAATACTCTGGAGATCCCAGAGTTTTAGGGCGTTGAGAAGGACTTGGCAGGGGTGGGAGAAGGAAGGGGACTGCAGACAGTGCAACTGAGGACAGAAACTCTGGAAAAGCACTGTTCATTTTGCAGAGGGCTCCTTTTTCTTTTTGGGACGGAGTCTCACTCTGTCGCTCACGCTGCAGTGCAGTGGCGCGATCTTGGCTCACTGCAGCCTCTGCTACCTGGGTTCAAGCAGTTCTCCTGCCTCAGCCTCCCGCGTAGCAGGGATTACAGGCGCGCACCACCATGCCTGTAATCCACCCCTCAGCGGTTACGTGACTTAGGGCTGGCGATTTCCCCTGTTTGAGCCTCAGTTTCTCCATCTGTAAAATGCGAATAACTGTGTCCCTTTTCTTTTCTTTTTTAGAACAACTCAGCAAAATAAAATTCCTGTTTATTGTTGGACAACGTTGTTTCACACATACATCCCACAAGCCAATAAATAAATAAATAATAAACAGCAGCGTCCTAGACAAAAAAGGAAAAAAAGGAAATCTTTTAATCTTTGGCCTTTTTTAACCATCTCATACAAACCAACTATTTATAGTACAGCCAAGTACATACACAAAAAAGTTACCGGAATGTTCTGAATAAGATTGTTTTTCTGTTGTCGTTTTTTTTTTTTTTTTTTTTTTTAAGAAGGTTTTTTTTCTCCTTTGAGATTATAACGAACACGGTCACACCACAAGTAAAGTCAGAAGTAGGACAGAGAACACTCCTTGGTCATCGAGATCATTAAAAATGGCTGACCCTAGCCGGGCGCGGTGGCTCAAGTCTGTAATCCCAGCACTTTGGGAGGCCGAGGCGGGTGGATCACGAGGTCAAGAGATCGAGACCATCCTGGTCAACATGGTGAAAACCCGTCTCTACTAAAACTACAAAACATTAGCTGGGCATGGTGGTGCGTGCCTGTAATCCCAGCTACTCGGAGGCTGAGGCAGGAGAATTGCCTGAACCCAGGAGGCGGAGGTTGCGGTGAGCTGAGATCGCGCCATTGCACTCCAGCCTGGGTAACGTGAGTGAAACTCCGTCTCAAAAAAAAAAAAAAAAGGCTGACCCTAACAATACGTACAAAAATATAAAACGTAAATGAAAAATACAAGCAAATTTCCTTTTAAAAGTACTTTAAAGAGAAAAAGCAGGGCCTTGGAAGTTTTGGTTCTTTTTTCCTCCCCTGTTGCCAATTCTCATGGTTTGGGTTGGGTAGTGGAGGGCGCGTCGTGTCCTCTGCGGGTGGCGCTGCCCGTGGTGGGCGGGCGGGCTGGCCTCTCTACTCGAAGGTGACCACGTTTAGATTCTGAGACGGGAAGTGGAGGGTGAATAGGTTTTGTTTTCTTTTAGTTTAACTTTTCTGTTTTTGCTGTCTGGTCATGCTCGTCGGTCTTCTGCTTCTTGGTATGGACATGGTCATCCTCAGCATCTTCACCTGCACACTTGACGGTAGCAGGCTCAGCCTCCTCATCTTCATCTCCATCCTCCTCCTCACCATCACCTTCCTCCTCCTCCTCCTCTTCCACCCTACCTTCTTCCTCTTCTTCATCTACCTCATTGTCAGCCTCCTGCACCCCATTTTCCTCATCAGTATTTCCATTAGCAGGGGCGTCTCTTCCATTTTCCGCCTCTTCTACAACTTCCTTCTTCTCCTTCAAGTCCTTGGTGGTGATTTCAGAGCTGGTGTTTACAGCTGCGTCTGACATAGTGGGGCACCAACTGTGTCGCTTTCAATGAAGTTACCAGGATTTGACAAGAGAGCACATGCAAAGTGTCCGCATGTAATGGGCTCTCAATTCCTATTTCGTGTGTTGATGGTTTGTATTTTTAGTACAGTCGGGGTTTCACCATCTTGGTCAGGCTGGTCTTGAACACCTGACCTCCTGATCCACCCGCCTCAGCTTCCCAAAGTGCTGGGAGTACAGGTGTGAGCTACCTCATCTTAACAGAGGCCAAGCCAAGTGAACTCCCCCCTAAGCCTCAGCTTAGTCCTCCACAAAATGGGCAAAGTACAACTTTGGCTTCCATTCCACTCAGCCACTCTCAGCAAGGGTCACTATTTTGATAACACTCGTGTTTTCGGCCATGCAGGATCCCCCAGCCATCTCCCCCTGAGACCTAGAATATTCCAAGAGCTCGCTGATGCTGTGAACTCTTCCCATAGGCAAAGCCGTTCCTTCTAGTTCTGCCTCCGGACACCTTGCCTTCATTCAGCTGGAGTGACTTAAAGTGGCCAGCGCTATTTTCCAGTGCTCGCTCCATGCGGGCTCTGTGCTGGATGGTTTAGACATATTGATGCATGAAGTGTTCAGAAGTAGTTTGAGAGTCTCATCACCACTCCCGTTTTATAGGAGAAGGCACTGCAGCTCAGAGAGGTGAAGAAACTCCCCCAAAGTCACACCGTTAGGGGATGGGGAACCTGGATTCAAGGTGGTCGCTGCATGCATGGGGCCGCGCAACCCAAAAATGCTGACTCCATCTTGCAAGGTCGGGCCCAGTTACTCTCTCTCTATGCTGGTTTCTTTCCTGTCACTCCGCCCTGCAGGGTGTCTGTTGGCCTCGGGGAACTGAGCACAATTTGTGATTTCATATCTGTTTGCTCATTTACCTGCTCCCTGACTGTGAGCTCCACAAGGGCAGGGGCGATGCCTGCCGCCTCACAGCTGTACCGTGGGCACCCAGGACTGTGCCTGGCACACAGTTGGCAGTCAACATTTTATTGAATGAATGTAACAAGAGCTAGTTGGGCTTTTCTTTTTTTTTTTTTTTTTTTGAGACGGAGTTTCGCTCTTGTTGCCCAGGCTGGAGTGCAATGGCGCGATCTCGGCTCACCGCAACCTCCGCCTCCTGGGTTCAGGCAATTCTCCTGCCTCAGCCTCCTGAGTAGCTGGGATTACAGGCACGCACCACCACGCCCAGCTAATTTTTTGTATTTTTAGTAGAGATGGGGTTTCACCATGTTGACAAGGATGGTCTCGATCTCTTGACCTCGTGATCCACCCACCTCGGCCTCCCAAAGTGCTGGGATTACAGGCTTGAGCCACTGCGCCCGGCTAGTTGGGCTTTTCTAGTGGGTGGTGTCCAGGCAGGTCCACCCTTCACTGTTATGTGACTTAGGGCTGGTGACTTCCCCTGTTTGTTTGAGCCTCAGTTTCTCCATCTGTAAAACGGGAATGACTGTGTCCCTTTCAATGAAGTTACCAGGATTTGACAAGGGAGCATATGCAAAGCGTCTGCATGTAATGGGCTCTCAATTCCTGTATCATGTGTTGATGGCTTCTCTTGGCCTGGGGGGGGTATGGCATGACCAGCAGGGTCAGGGGGAGGCAGAGTGGCCTCGGGATTGGACGGGGGGAAGCAGCCGGACCAAGTCATACAGCAAACTGTCCGCAGCTCTGGCTTATTCTCTGAGCCTGCCTGAATGTGAGTACTCAAAATGTCACAGTCATGGTGGCCCCGTCCCTACTGTCATCTCTTGCCTGGCCCTGAGCATATAAACAGATCCTCCTCTGTAAAGCACCCGCAACAGGGGCAGAGCCAGTAGTCAGGGGGACAGAGACCCCGGTGGGGAACTGGTGCTGTTCAGCCTGAAACACACAGGGTTTCCTGATCTTCACTCAGGAGGCCTCTCCAGCTCGAAGGAGGCTTCCTCCCAGGGGAAAGCTCTGGAATGTAAGGAATGTGCTGGAACCTCCAGCCCAGGCCCCAGGAAAGAGAATGTCTTAGAGGCACAGGGCTGAGGGGGCATTTTCCCAGCCATCTCAGGGACGCCAGGCCACTGGGGAGTTCATAGCAGACATCACCTTCTGGCACCCGGGTCAAGCCTCAACTGCCTTGATGCCTTCCCAGGTTCTCAGGCTGGAATGACGGAGGCCCCGCCAGCCTCTCACGGTCTTTTATTTCAGCCTCTCGCTCAGCACCTGTGCTTCTGCACTCAGGGCCAGACCCTGTGCTGGGCACTGAAGTACAGAGAAAAATGAAGCTGACTCTTGTCTGAGCCACAGGGAGGTGGGACAGACCCACTGTCAAGTCGACTCCTGCATCGTGTCACCTTGGACAAGCTCAGCTGTCTGAGCCTCTGTACCCCCATTTATAAAATGGGGGTAACATTAGGATCTCCTTTGACGAGAGTGAAAGGCCCCTTTGTTCCTGGTGCTATAAATGGAAATTATTATTGTTAGAAAAATGGCTATGACAGTATCTCCTATCCCACACACTCCTCTTATAAAGTGACTTTGACCCTTCTCCCCTTGAATCTGGGTGGGTTTGTGACTTTGGTAGAAGTGATACTATGTGACTTTCAAGGCTGGTTAATAAAATGGGGGAGGGGAATACTCAGTCTTGGAACCCAGCCGCTATGGTGTGAGGAAACCCAAGCAGCTGCGAAGAGGCCCACATGGACAGGAACCAAGGCCCCTCGCCCTGGCTGAGCTCCTGGCAATCCTGTGGGTGAACCGTTTTGAAGGTGGGTCATCCCGCCCTAGCTGAGTCACTGCAGTGGATACTGCATGGAGCAGGGACAAACTGGAATCAAGCCATGCTCCCTTTGCAGGTTCCTGAGCGACATGATGGTAGTTTTAAGCCTCTAGGTCTTGGAGAGGTTTATTTAGCAGCAATAAACAAGGATACAGTTCCTTTTAAGAAACAACTTTGCTTCTGTCTCAGCTGAACTCAGGATCTTTTTTTCCCCCAGATCCTGGTCCCTTCCAGCATTTTCCATCTCAGGAAAGAGCCCCACTCTTTCTGGTTGCCTGAAAAAGAAACCTGAGCGTCATCTTTCTTTCCTTCCTCAATCTCTGTGATAGCCATTGTCCAGGTCCTCTCATCTTACCTCCGAAATCTCTCTCTCTCTCTCTTTTTTTTTTTTTTTGAGAGGGAGTTTCACTCTTTCACCCAGTCTGGAGTGCAGTGGCACCATCTCAGCCCACTGCAACCTCCACGCTCCGGGTCCAATCAATTCTCCTGCCTCAGCCTCCCGAGAAGCTGGGATTACGGGTGCCCACCACCAGGCCTGGCTAATTTTTGTGTTTTTAGTAGAGATGGGGTTTCACCACGTTGGCTGGGCTTGTCTTGAACTCCTGACCTCAAGTGATCGCCTGCCTCAGCCTCATAAAGTGCTGGGTAATAGGCATGAGCCACCACGCCTGGCCCTAAATACCTCTTGTCACTTTATTCTATCCCCCTGACATTGCCACAGCCAAACCACCAGCCTTCTGTTTTGGGCAGCCGTGGCAACTTTCCAACCAGCCTCACCGTTTTACAGGGAGAACAGGAATCTTGATACATGAATGACAGAATAAGGGAAATCATCGGCGTTCGGCTCCCTCCGCCTCCAGTGCTGTGTCTCTGAGCCCTTCATTTGTCATTGCCTGGACTGTTTCTTCTTCTCCCCACACGAGCCCAGGGTAAGACCCCTTGGCTACCACTTCCTGTCTGTCCGCAACACCCTCCTTGACCCAACCTGAGCAAGTTTGCTCACTGCTTTGGTCTCTGAGCAGGCAGCTCCTGTTTCCCCCCCCCCCCCCCCCCCCCCCCCCCCCCCGCCCAATCTAGACTTGAGATTTGGATTCAGTAGTAGAGCAGATATGATATACATCGGGCCCTGCTCATGTGCCAGGCTCTGTGCTAGGCACCTAGAATACCATGGTGAGAAGAAACGAAATGTCTGTTCTCACGGAATTCTCAGTCTAGTAGGGGAGACAGGCATTCACTATGGAAACAAGAAAGTTAAATCCTTTCTACCATTGTTTATTGTTATGAAAGAAGTTTGGCAGGATGATGGGACAGGGTGGAGTGGGGGATGGGCACAGTCAGGCAGTGGTCAGGGAGGGCTTCTTGGAGGAGGTGGCATTTGATCTGTTAAGCTGGAGTCAGCCATGTGACATTAGGAGAAAGTGTCAGCAGGGGGAACAGCAGGGGCAAAGGTGCTGAGGTGGGATGAGCTTGCCGTGCAGAAGGGATGGAGGCGAGGCCAGAGCATGAGAGGCTGGTGGGATGCAGTGTAGAAAGGCAAGCCAGGGCTGGGTCATTCGGGGACTGTTGAGCCGCAATAAGGACTCTGATTTGATCCTAAGTGTGTTTGGAAGCCGTCAGCGGGTTCTGTGCTGCAGAGTGACACCTCTGATGTATGCTGTAAACACTGGCTTCCAGCTGCTGGGTGGAGAATGGATTGGAGGGGGATGGGGGAGCAGGGGGCCTGGGGCAGGGGCTGTGGAGGAGTCTAGGTGAGAAACTGCATTTATCAAAGACGCCATCCACACAGGTGTCGTGGGGCTGAGGCTCCTCTGTCTCCTCCGGCGTGGTCCAGCTGCCCTGTACCCATGGCTTCCAGACGTTTCTGTCTGTCATTCTTTAAAAGACACCCCCTCCTTAATTCTGTGGTGAGGATTTGCCTTCATAGACTCACTTCAGCCTCCTGAAGCCCAGCCTGGCTGCCCGAGGGAGGCCCTCCCAGCACTGTGTGAGGAGCTGGGGTTGAACCGTTTGTCACTCTCAGACCCTCCCATCCTGACTGTGCCCCAGCTCCCCAACAGCTCCATCCTGTTCGGAAGGGCTGTCCCCATGAGTAAGGTGGCAGCAATGCCGTATTGTATTGACATTGGACGTGTGTTCTTATCTAGATGTACCAGGGCTGTGTGACCGATGGCAAGTCACTTACCTGCCCCTCCCCCCGGCCTCCCAGCCTGTTTTCTCACAGCATCTCCATATTG